ACTGATTGTAGAATAACACAATATGTGAAATTTGGTCCAATTCGCTTGTGCCATTTTGTATATTACTACTTAGAAAAACATAAAAATGAAACATAATTCAATCAATAATCAATTAAAGTGCTTATGGCACAGAGTAAAATAGGATTGTGGGGTTAATGTGTTTTATAAAGCCTGTTTTTGCAAAGGAAACTCACCATGACACATGCAGAAATAGACAATTTCACTCGCTTCACGTATAATGTAATAACTCCTGTTTAGAAGCTGTTATTTGAAAGATTCTTTTTTTTCTGGTACTTTTTGGCATCTAGTGGCATCAAACAAAGTAAATTGCAGAGAGTTGTGCCTAATAGAACCTTAAACCATTTGTTTTCATTTCCTCCATTGTATGTGTGTAGGGTAAACATTTGAATTTGAGTATGTCAAATTTAGGCGAAAATACCAAAAACGCCCCAGAGAATAAGTGGTTTTAATAACCCTAACCCAAAGTTTTTGTTGTTTCTCTAAATTAAACATCTTGAGCACTGTATACTTTAGCCAATACTGTAACAAATAAGAGTGGCAGAATGAAAAGAGAAGATAAAAGCAAAAAGATTAGAAAGAGAACATGCTTTACTAAATACTGCACTAAGACAAAATAAACACACATTTGTGGAATATATGAGAAAGTTTTAGTGATATTATATGAACATCTTGTATCTGTTTGTTCAGTAGGCCTATGGTTGATTAGTCACAGGGCTGATAAACCTTCTTTACTTAAGACTTATTTGACAAGCTAATGAATGTATATAGGCGGTGTGTGTATTAAGCTCTTAAGATAATTAAGTATAGGACGCCATATCAACATGTTCGTTTGTGTGTGTTTCTGATTGAGCTATAGTTGTATTGGGACAAAATCACTAACATTTTGTCCCCAGAGTGATTTCAACATTTTCAGAAGGAAAAAATGGTTAAAAAAAGACACTAAAAGTAGTCACTCTGAAACAGTTTTATTTGTAATATCACAGTATTCTTTCAAGTAACTTGTCATGGAGTGTCATGTAAACACATATATTGACATCTTGAAACCATGGTACTGCCACAATGCTTTATTGAATGGGTAGTAGTCAATAAGATGTCATTTTTTGATAACATATATTTATAAGAAACATATATTTGAAAATATGTTTTACCAAAAAACAGGCAAATATAGCCTATGTATGACAGTAATTTATGGAAGCAATATCGGCTGGCAAAGAAAATTGACCTTTGGCCTGGAAGCAGAGATGTTAGTCATTGGTCTATATACAGAGACATCTCAATGTGGTAGCTCATACACAAGGATCTCCAAATAGACGATATGAGTCATCGACCAGTCATCTACCTGACCCCAGGAACTTACCCAATAAAATCATGAACAACCAGTTCTGAGTAATGCTGGCCGACTTCATTTCAGCTTTCATCAGATGCAGTACAGTAATATAATCACTTAATAGAGGCAGTATATTAGTAGACCGCATTCCTTGTGTATTTTTTCATTACACAGAATCTCTTTACAGTACACGCAAGCAACAATCAAGCTAATTATGGTTGCCAGTATGACATGTTCAGCCTAACATTTGTTCTTTCACTGTCCTTGAGAAGTGACACAGGAGCACACATCAGCTCAACTGAAATAACAGCCCTAAAGCTTGCTCCACAGCTGTAACGTGTTAGAGAATGGCATTCTTTTCCTTTCACAAGTCATTAATACATCCAGACTCACAGAGACAGCGTCCCGCAATTCAACCATAATTAGAAGGCACAGGCTGAGCCTGAAATAATTGGATCTGCCGTTTAAACCTGGTCTAAAATAGGAATAATGTAAAGATTGTCTGGTGTGTGCTGGGAGAGCTGATAGCATTTTCAGCTGCTATCAGACGTGATGTAGAACAGGGCCATCATCCGAGAGGGATAAATGTGAACATTGTCCCAGGCCATGTGACGAAGGGGGCCCACTAAGTTTCTCTGTGATACAGCTTATTCTTTTGGCAATATAGACTGATCAGGCATAACATTATGACCACCTTTCTAATATTGTGTTGTTCCCCATTTTGCTGCCAAAACAATCCTGACCCGTCGAGGCTTGGGCTACACTAGACCCCTGATGGGGTGCTGTGGTATCTGGCACCAAGATGTCAGCAGCAGATCCTTTAAGTCATGTAAGTTGCGAGGTGGGGCCTCCATGGATTGGACTTGTTTGTTCAGCACATTTTTGCTTTGTGGCAGGGCGCATTATCCTGGGGAAAGAGGCCACAGCCACCAGGGAATACCGTTTCCATGAAAGGGTTCTTCCCATAGTGCATCCTGGTGCCATGTGTTCCCCAGCTAAGCATCGCACACGCACCCGGCCATCCACGTGATGTAAAAGAAAATGTGATTCATCAGACGAAGCCATCTTCTTCCATTGCTCCGTGGTCCAGTTCTGATGCTCACGTGCCCACTGTTGGCGCTTTCGGCGGTGGACAGGGGTCAGCACGGGCTCCCTGCCTGGTCTGCGGCTATGCAACCCCATACGCAACAAACTGTGATGCACTGTGTATTCTGACACCTTTCCATCAGAACCAGCATTAACTTCTTGAGCAATTTGAGCAACAGTACCTCGTCTGTTGGATCGGACCACACGAGCCAAGGTTCCTTCCTTGGACCACTTTTGATAGATACTGACCACTGCAGACTGGGAACACCCCACAAGTGTTTCAGTTTTGGAGATGCTCTGACCCAGTCATCTAGCATCACAATTTGGCCCTTGTCAAACTTGCTCAAATCCTTATGCTTGCCCATTTTTCCTGCTTCTAACACATCAACTTTGAGGACAAAATGTTCACTTGCTGCCTAATATATCCCACCCACTAACAGGTGGCGTGATGAAGAGATAATCAGTCTTACTTCACCTGTCAGTGGTCATAATGTTATGCCTGATCGCTGTATATTGCAAAAATATGTAGCAAAAATATGTAGTTTGATGCAGTTGCTAATATTTAAATGGCCAAAACGTTCTAATAGCTCGTAATATTAATCAGTTATATAAATTAACAGTATAGCAGACTTCTTTATACAGTATTCTTACATATATATATATATATATATATATATATATATATATATGTATATATATATAACTTGGCCAGGCCTGAATGCACTTCCTGTAGGGCTTCCACTTAGATTGGCCACAATGAAAGTCTGTGTAAAGGCTATTCAGAGAATTGTTTCTAAACACATTATAAATGTTAGAAATGTATTATTGAAAACACATTACAAAGACTGTTAACTAAGTAGTACTAAATTGTGGAGTTTAGACCATTAAACAGTTTTTCACCATTTTTGAGTTCAGGATTTTGTGGGCGGGCCTGAAATCATGTCTCGATGACACACTGGAGCCACTGAGTATGGCCCCTCCCCTAACACTATAATAATTAGAGCGCATTAGCATCAGTGGTTCGCCCGCTCAATCGCGAGTTACTGTCATTACCGTTAGTTACTACAGCCTACAGTTTGCTAGCTAGCT